ATGGATGGATGGATGGATGGATGGATGGATGGATGGATGGATGGATGGATGGATGGATGGATGGACGGATGGATGGATGCATGCTTCACTGGAACTAAAATATGAGTTTATGAGATTGGTAATTCATTAAATTCTGATCGTATTTACACTTTAAATTGCCCCATGCTTTTTCAGATTGGGGTTGTATTTAGTGCATTAAAGGATGAGGTTTATACAAGCTATAGTTAAAGAGAATTTTATTCTAAACAATCGAAGTTACAGAACATATTTGCTTGCTGTCATGTGTATACATATTTATTCTATTTGCTTGAGAAATATTTTATTTATGACAGATTTCTATAGTATCAATGTGCACTGTGTGATTATGTGCTAAAACTCTGTGAAAGCCTCAATCTTTTATTTGTTTATTCATATTTTTATTGTTTAAATCACTGAATAGCACCCTGTTCAGCTTGTCTTTTCTCTGTTGTACGACTGATGCTTCTCTGTTTACTTGTCAATATCCTGCAAAAGATGTTTATTTATTAAAAATATTTATATCGAGGATAAAAAGTGGAAATAAATTATTTAAATTTGAATGAGCATATCTTTTTGTACAATAACTTCTTTATTTCTTTGAATTCTTCCAAGTGCACTTCTTTAATCTGCTATGGCAGATTTTTTTCTCTCCCCTTTCATGGTACGCCTCCCAGTGCCACGGCAGCGGTTTGCAAATATAGCTCCCCCCCAGCCGAGCTGGTGTTGGCGAGGACCATGTAGATCAGCATGGGATGCAGTATAAGTGTGGGGGGGTATGGTGGATACTTCTCGCAAGGCCGCAGACAGATGGAGGCTTTGGCGAGRGGGCCAGCTCATCCCTGCAGGACTTCCATGGATAAAGTGTGGCGCACTGTCACTTGTAGTCATTCACGCTTCCCCGGCTCAGAACCACCTCTCAGTCTTTTTCTTGGTTTCTAGCACGCCTCTCTGTACGTTTATATAAAGATTCCTTGAAAATAGAAAACCAAGACATTAACCCTGCTGTCATCAAGACACCAACACAAGAACTTATATCGGTAGTCTGTAGTTTGWGTCAGAGTATTTAATGTCATTTTTCACTCTGACATCCTTCCTCTGTGTGTTTTTACATGTAAAGAAATGATACTATAAATATGACTTCACAAACTTACCACTTAATTAACCAACCATAACAAGCATCTTCCTCTGGGGCCCTGGATCTCAAAGGGCCTGCAAGGTGTGCACTTTTTCTGTGAAACAGGAAGTCTTACTTTGGATAAATATTGAATTTATTAAATGCAGTTACATTTTGCATGAGTTGGTTTGCATGAGGCCTTTTAACCCAAGTCGACATGAGATTTTCCTTACTGCCTGCTGTGTGTGTGTGTGTGTGTGTGTGTGTGTGTGTGTGTGTGTGTGTGTGTGTGTGTGTGTGTGTGTGTGTTGTGCATTCATTTGTTATGGTTGCAAAATACCTTATGAACCACTAAACGGATTTCAATGAAACTCTGAGAAAGTCATTGGACCTACATCTACGATTAACTTTGGGAGTCAACACCATTCAACAAAGCAAACTGATTAAACACAAAGATGGAGATAACTTTGTCTTTATTGTTTTTTTTTTTTCATGTATTGAGCTATAATTTGGTGTGGTAGTAGCTGAAAGTCATCCCCAATGCATACTCTGCATGTGTGCTATTAATGCCTAAACTACATTACCTTTAGGAGTCAACCATGTTTGTCTGTTAAAAATATATCTCATGCACCACTGAACAAACGTATTTGAAACTCTCAGTAGGTCCTGATGTGCATCTTTAGTGGATACATTTTTGGATTCAGTCCAGTTCAAGGTGGCCACCACAGCTGGCTGACCTCGGATAACACAGGAAAGCCTATAATTCAGCCAACTGAGTTAAAATGTGGTTTGGTAGTAGATGAGACTCATCCTTGATACATATGCTGAGCACTAGCACATCTTGAAATGTTGAGCAAGATATAACTTAGTTGGATAAAAATGTCTGTGACAATGTAATTTCTCATCATAAAATGATATTAGTTGAAAACTCTGGCATGTATTAGTTTTATATAATATTTGTAAGTATACACATACAGATAAAAAAAAGCTGCTGCAGGAAAATAAGTTTCTACAAATAGTAGACGGTGTCACATCACCACTAACAATAAACACTGGGTCTAACAATGAAATAACGCTTCACTCTCTGAGCAGTAGAGGGCGCCAAAACCACACCAGGCACGTTTAATCACGCGTCCGCGGGCAGACAGTGTTACCTCAAGGAAACCTTTTATAAATAATTGAGATCACTGAATAATAATCATCCAAAATAAATAAATAAGTAAATAAAATCCTGCAATTTTCTCATGTGGTCTTAAATTATACATCTAAAAAGTGGTATGAAATCAACACAACAAGTCTTCATTCAAATGATGTGGGTTCATTTCTGAACGATAGCCAGTGCATTTAAAGCGCTAAAATGATAGTATCATTCACACATAGATGTGAAGGCTGGGAAGTCCATTCAAGCTATTTAAAAACAATTGTATTTTTTGTCAAGAGAACTCTAACGGTCTCGTGGTTTTTATTACAAGCATCATCGACAGTAAAACACTGAGGCTGAAGATCACCGAGTCAAAAGATCCCAGCTAGGCCGCATTTATTGTTTTCTCAACCTAACTACGTTTCTTGTCCCGCCCTGAAGGGGGGAAGCGAAAACGACGGACAGTCTTTTGAGCCAATGAAACGGCCGTGTGGTGCCGGCTCGTGGAGAAAAGGACCAATGGTCGCTCGATAGGATCCGAGGGGTACGCTTTCTCTGGCAAGAAGTTAGTTCCTGCTCTTCCCTGGCCGTTTCCTGTAATCGTACAGTGTTGTGAGACGGAGAAAGCCATGTGTGTCGACGCAAAGGTAAATTTAGCACCCCGAAATTGTCACAGCGAGAGTTGAGGTAGTGATTGGGATGGTTATTTTCAGGTATTTTTGAGGAAAATTAGCCGCAGAGCAATCGAAACAGCATTGCGGCCTAAAGCTGTGTCTGAACGTAGACGGGCACGTTGCTTTGGTTTTGGTCCGGTTTGTTGATGAGATTGAAGGAGTCCGGTGGACTGAATGGTTCATAGTAAATCACAGAAAGGGAACCCAACAACCACACATGTTCAGTGAACCTTGTTTGTGAACCTAAATGTGGTTTCGATGCCTCTCATGCTTTAATCGGGACATTTTGGTGGCGGTAGAAGCTAATGCTAACAGACGGTTTTAAAGACTGCAGAGAGGAAAACATCGTATCTGTGTCCAGCATCAGGACCCTGCTGTCTGACTTCATCCCCAAATATTTTCATTCACAAAATTCGTTCCGAGGTGGCATTTCACATGTAACATCGTAGAATTTAATTACATATCTATTTAAACAGTTAATACCACTTTTAGAGCAGTTACTTATATCGCAAAGAATGAAAAACTGTATGTTTCTTAGCCTGTTTAGTAGTTTTCAAATAGGAATATGAAAAAACAAACAAACTCAGAACCACTAACATTATCACAAATATTAAGATAAATGTGAGTATCTTTATGAATGTGGCAGTCTTTAGTAAATTAGGTGCTGGTTTTGTGCATTACAGTGTTAAACCCAAAGAACTTACTTGTTATTAGACCATTCGACTTAAAGAATAAACTAAAGATTAGAGGATTTTTAATACTTTTATAGAATCACATATTTCTTAAACTTTTTGTAACATGAAACACTTTTGTTTGCACCTGGATCTCAAGCCAGATTTGAATGGACAATAAACTGTAGCACTTAAATAGATAATAACACTGTCAGATATTGGTTTTATTTATATGGAGTTCTCTTATTTCTTTTTTTCTAGCTGTTTATTTGAGTCGAGAAGAATTGGACAACAAACACATAACTTTCATCGCTGAGTCTCTTTAACTTGGTGCCCGTCTCCCTGTGTGGAGTGGGCAAGATGGCAGATCCCATTATGGACCTCTTTGAGGACACACCTCTGTTCAACCTGGATGCTCTACAGGATGATTCCTACTCTCAGGGCTCCTCGGACCCRGTGGAGGAAGCACTGAAGTTGGCTTTGGGTCAGGTGGTTCCAGCTGTTGAGCCYGAATCCGGGCCAGACCTCACTGTCAGTACAAGCCTCGATGTTCCCGTAGCGGCTCCTTCTATCCCAGACCCGACCCCTGTTCAGATTTTCACGCAGCAGCCAATGCCAGTGGCGACTGCTCAYACTGTTTCTGTAGCTCCTGCTCCCACTATGACCTCAGTCCCTGCTCCAGCTCCTCTTCCCATCCCTGCCCTACCCCCTGTTCCTACCCCAATTGATGCTGTGCCGCAGATGCAGGCTCAGACCACCATCCCCATTGCCAGCAGCACCTGCGGAGCCACCAGTAGCACTGTACTGCTGAGCTCACCTTTGACTGTTTCTAGCTCTCCAGCTACCACTGCCACTACACAGCAGCTCACACAGATAACTCACCAGCTCACCCCGCAACAATTAGCTGCCATCACACAGCAGGCTGGCGGTAAAATTGTCATTCTCAAAGGTCCCCAGGGTCAAGCCCAGGTCCTGCAGTCTCTATCAGGAGCCACAGGTCAGACAGGTGGAAAGGTCATCCGTGTGTTGTCTGGCACACCCCTCAAACCTGGTGTGTCCATACTGCAGGGAGGGGCAGTCTTGAACCAGACGAGCCCAGGACAAACCCAGGTCAAGGTGGGTGCTGCAGGCGTGCAGAGACTGCTGCAGTCTGCCAACGGGCCGGTCAAACAGGTGCTGCTCACATCCATGCCTCAGCAGGTACAGCAAACGCAAGGTCAACCCATTCAAGTTCAGATCCCAGCCCAAGCGCAGATGGCTCAAGGTCAAACTACTGTCCAAGTTCAGCCCCAGGCCCAGGCCGCTCAGATCCAGGTTCAGCCCCAGACAGCCCAGATCCAGGTCCAACACCAAGGCCAGGCAGCGCCGACCCACGTCCAGGGTCAGGTGCAGCTCCAGCCAGCCATGCAAGCTCAGACACAGGTAAGCACCACCTCCTTTCCACATGAACGTCTTTAAGAAGGTGACAGCACTGGTAGCACAACAACCAATCCTTTAGAGGGGGTCTGTGGATTTCTATCACTCCTGAATTTTTACAAGGTATATATTTAGTTTTGCTGTGTGTTTTTTAAAAAAAAKCTCCTGTGTTTTACAGGGCGGTGAAGCAAAGCGCATCACCCTGGTTCTTCAGCAGCCTTCTCAGACTGGCTCTGCCACGTCAGTGGGTCAGGCTGTTGCAGCTCAGCAGCAAGTCACCCAGGTCCAACAAGTTCAGACGACACAAGGGGCTCAACAGCAGCAAGCACAGGCCCCTGCTAGACTGGTGCTGGGTCAGCTCCCTGGTGGCAAACTGGTTCTCCAGGGAAGCCAGCTGGCGGCCCTGGCCCAGGCTCGGACGGCAGGCCAGGCCGGAGGGCAGCCCAAAGTAGTCACAATCCAGCTGCAAGTGCAACAGCAGCCCAACCAACAAGGAGGAGTTAAGGTGAGTAAAGTGTGTCAGTGCTGCTTGGTTCAGTTTACTCATAACAATTCACATAGTTCTCATAGTATTATTTTATTTTTTCATCTAAACCTTATTTTTGATATATTTTTTGGATAAAGCTTCAGTTATTTTCTGGTACAAAAAGTTAAAAGGTGTGTAATATTATTTACTTTATGAATACAGGACTAATACTAACGGGTAGTTTGACTACCCCGCTTATAATATTAGACCCTAAACATTTTTTGTTGGATTAAAGCATTTATTTCAAACATCAAAAGTTTAGTAACTACACACGTTTTTACGTTCAGTAAACATTAAATATACCAACCTTTATGRTCCCAAGGGAGATCATTCCTTTACTGGCTTTGATTTGGATCTGTTAGCATCCACACTAGTTTTATTGATTAGCTCAAGGATATTCATTGTTTTGAAACTCTGATGCATTTAAGTAAGTGGCATGTTTGAGCAAAGATTGGAGATAAGTTGTCTGGATTTTATAAGATTTCCACTTGTACTTGTTACATAAGTAGCTCTGCCCTAAATACTGTTTTAGATAAGAAGTTTAAATTGCCTCATCTTACAGTGACTAATGCATAATGAATGATGTGGAACTAATGCTCAGATATTTCCTATGTTGTTTGGGGTTTTTTGTAGAATGCACAATCAGTAAATTTTGTCTAAGTTTGAATGGGATCAAGCTAAACATCAACAATGTGGCCACCACTGTCCAGCAATTTCAAATTCACTTGTGTTATGCTTTAAATCAAAGCATTGTTTATGGTAKCCTGATGATTATAACCTATTTTTTTAAGTGACTGATGTCCTAATTTAATATAAATTCATCTGGATATTTTCTGTGAATACGCTTGGTTATTAGGTGATGAACAAAAATCTTCCATTTTTGTGAACTTAAAATATCTGGCCTACATATYTACTGTAGGTTGAGTGTGTTTTCAACTCGATGCAAAATAGGGAGGCGAGGGAGCTGCAGTAGCTCGGTGGTCAGCGCTGCAGTCTTGTAATCCTGAGGCTGCAGATTCAAGCCCCGCTTGCATCAGGAAGGGAATGTGGTGTAAAACCTTTGCCTTTGCAGAGGAAAATGGCCGGTACCTTTTAGTAAAAGTGTGTTTTCACTTTGTATGCTGTCAAGTCTAATAACATGTCACATTACCACAAAGATTATATATGTACCGTTATTATCTAACTGCCTGGTAAAAACCAAACCCTTGTCCTTCACTTTGCTTCATACGAGGGTCTGTGGCCTCTGCTGAAGTTTAAAATGATTGGATCGTTTGGCCGCGACGTATGTCGCTGTGACGGAGGCTAAGCTAAGAAGCTAACCGGAAATCACGTGCGCTGTAAACAACCCTACTGAGAGGAGAAATATACCGAGCCGAACGAGACAACTGTAAATGAGAGCTGCTGCTTTGTCAGACAAATTRAATTTAATTTGGAAGCCTTATCAACACAGACTGGCTTCATTCACTTCCTCCACTGCCGTATGCTAAACTAATTAGCAGACACTGCGCAGAAAATCAYCGTCATTCAAAACCCCGCCTTCTGTTTGCTGATTGGCCCAGGTAAAATAAACTACAAGCAGACACTGCACAGAAAATCTAAGTTCTGTTCTTTGATTGGCCCAAATAAAATTCTCCCAAAGAAATCCTTGTCTATGGGAGAAAAACCAGACGGAGCAGTGAAGGGAAACTAGAATTGAGCTGAACTGCGTAGGAAGGCAAGGGCCATGCTAATAAGATGCCAACTTTTTATTTATCATTTCTGTCCTTTAATTAATTTACACATACACTTAATCAAACGCTGGCTAGTTAGCATTTATAAAATGGTTCCTGAGCATGACTAAACCTCCTCCCTTTTATGTTGACAGTACCAGCTGGTGTCAGGGGCTGGGGGCACTGGTAGCCCACAGGTGTTGCAGATATCCCAAGGCCAAGGAGGACAAAGGGTGGCAGTACCGATCAAAATGCTTCTTCAYCCACAGGTAGATATCCACATTTGCATACATGTTTTGTTTTGCACGCTTCATAGCAGAATGTTCCATTTGAAATTGAGAGAAATCGGTATAATAACGTTTTCTTTTCTCAGACAAGTTCAGCCGCATCTGGTGGTGCTGTTTCTATGGTGAAGGTCCTCAACAGTTCAGCAGCAAGCCCCTCTAACGCAACCACCACTCCATCCCAGACCATTCGCATCTCCAAAGCTCCCGGCGAGCCTGCGTCGGTGCGACGAGTGGAGATTCTGTGCAAGCAGGAAAAAGCAAATCGCATAGTGGCTGAAGCCATTGCACGGGCCAAAGCACGTGGCGAGAAGAACCTGCCTAGAGTCCTGAACCAGGATGAGCTTCCGACCCCACAGACCTTGTCAGAGTTTGGAGGAACTGTGACTGTAGTGTCCGCTGCAAAGAAAAAAAGCAGCGGTGGGGGAAGCAAAAAGAAAAGTCCGATATCTGGAGGACAGATCCCCAAAACCTTAGTGGGAGCTGACAAAAAGAGCAAAGTGAAGGCACCCGGAGGAACAGTTACATTAGTTGGAGGGACCATGATGTCTGGAGCTGGGAACAAGAGCAAAAGCAAGACTAAAGCCAAGTAAGATGCATCAAATGGGATTACACTGTGATCAGAGACATCTTTAAGAAAACTCTTTAAATATTGTTCATATGTCAGTGATTTATTGTCTAATTTTATTTTATCTCCCTTCATCTCCTGACAGCACTATTACTCTAGTGGGAGCAAAAAAAAGAAAGAGAAATGCATCTTCAGACCACTCTGATGGCGAGCTGAGCCCACCTTCACCTGTTGCATTGGAGGATGACATGATTATGGTACAAACAAATATCTTTAAAATTATTTATTTTTTTATTTTTTATTTTATTTTATTAAAATAAAATAATAATAATAACTTGATTACAAAACCCCAAATCATTAACTTCTTCTTTTCTTCCGGCCAGAAGAGGCGCTCTAATCGTGTGATAAAGAGAAAGAAGTACACAGAAGACCTGGATATCAAAATAACAGACGACGAAGAAGAGCAGGAAGATGTGGATGTTACTACAACGGCAGCAGCTGTGGCCTCCATCAGTGGAGGGGCAGCAGCGCAGCTTAAACAGGAAGTGGAGCTGATGGATGCTGATGGACTGCCTAGTATGCAGTTCTTTGTGGTYAGTGCCGAACAAATGAACGCTTTGGAGAAACTGAATAAAGAAAATTTTACGACAGATAATTGTGTAAGTTTGCATTKCATTTTTAGCAGTCAGTAGCTTATTTATAGCTGTGTGTTTTTTATTTTTTACAGGAAAATCCAAGTGAGGAAGATGCTGCTATTGTAGACAAAATCTTGTCTCTGAGGATAACGAGGAAGGAGGTGTTTATTCAACATATWATATACTTTCAGTTTGTTTTAGTATTTATGAATTGTTCCTTTAAATTGTTTCTTCTCTTCAAGGTGTCTGCAGGCCAGTATATTAACGTTGAGGAATTCTTTGTAAAATACAAAAACTAGTAAGTTGCAGCGTCTTTGTGAACAACTCTGACCTCAGTATTGTCTTTGCTCAGGGTGGCAGSATGGACAATACAGATGAGTACAACCCTCACTCTTTTGTTTTCAGCTCATACCTGCACTGTGAGTGGGCCACTTTGGCACAGCTGGAGAAAGATAAAAGGATCCATCAGAAGATCAAGAGGTTCAAGACCAAGCATGCTCAGATGAGACGCTTGTTTCAGGAGGTGAGAGGAAGGCCAGACGRGTAAAACTTTTCAACTCGATGCTCTACTGGTTGAAATGTAACTTAAAACTGTTGTTCTCTACAGGATGAGGAGCCTTTTAACCCAGACTATGTTGAAGTGGATAGGATCCTGGATGTGTCCCACAGTATAGACAAGGACAACGGCGAGGTTAGGAATTTTATTTTCAATTTTTCTATATGTTCGGAAGCAATTAGCTGTTAACCTTTTGTTGAGATAACTATAACTTTCATTCTGACGTGTAAGCTTTTAGTGAGTTGTCATTTATTAAATAGATTTAAATGCTGTCCTCCATCCCCTCTAGCCCGTCATCTACTACCTGGTGAAGTGGTGCTCCCTGCCGTATGAAGATGCTACTTGGGAACTGAAAGAGGATGTTGATGAGGGCAAAGTGAAGGAATTCGGCAAAATCCAGAATAGGCAACCTCGTCTGAAGAGAACAGTGAGTGCTCAATAAAACATGGCTTTGGGTGTGTCTTTTCTTCTGTAATCATCTCTATTTTTAATCGTATTTTAAATTAGCTCATTATAAAAAAAGTTTCAAAAAAAGGACAAAAGCCATTTTGTACACAAAAACATAACTTTACAGAATTTATCAATGTGTTTAAGCACCCTAGTATTATCTAAGAGGGGTGCAGTATCCACCAGTAGAACAGCCTGCCTCTCAATGAAAGGTCATGAAATAAAATGATAAAAATCAGTACTGCACCATCGAGGGAGCATTCACAGGCTTTTGAAAGTGTCTCTTAGTTTGACTTGCTGTTTCTGCTTGTTTGGTTCTTGTATTTTTAACAATATTAACACTAAAAGACATTTGTATGCCTAAGATTATGTCAAATGTCAATGTCAAATTTATTTATATAGCACTTTACAACATGCATAAAGCTGTACCAAAGTGCTGTACAAGAACAACACAAATGACAAAACAGAGCAAAAAAA